ATAGAACCACACTAACCAAAAATGGCAATAGATGAGTACATATCAATAATCACCTTAAATGTAAATGGACTAAATGCTCCGATAAAAAGACACAGAGTAGCTGTTTGGATAAGAAAACATGACTCACATATATGTTGTTTACAAGAGTCCCACCTCACAACAAAAGACTCACATAGGTTGAAAGTGAAGGGATGAAAAAAAATCTTCCAAGCAAAGAGAAAGGAAAAAAAAGCTGGGGTAGCAATACTCATATCTGATCAAATAGATTTCAAAATGAAGGCCATAACTAGAGACAAAGAAGGTCACTACATAATATTGAAAGGATCTATCCAACAGAAACAAATAACCTTGGGAAACATATATGCACCCAATATAGGAGCCCCAAAATATATTTAAAATCTTCTGGAGGACTTCAAAGAAGAAATCGACAGCAATACAATCATAGCAGGGGACTTCAACACCCCACTGACATCACTGGATAGATCCTCTGGACAAAAAATTAGCAAGGAAACAGAGACTCTAAATGAAGCACTAGACCAAATGGATTTAATAGATAACTACAGAGAATTACACCCCAAAACTACAGAATTCACATTCTTCTCAAGTGCACATGGGACATTCCCAAAGATAGACCACATGTTAGGACACAAACTAAGTTTCTACAAGTTCATGAAGATTGAAATCATATCAGGCATCTTCTCAGATCACAATGGCATGAAACTAGAAATCAATTGCAACAAAAACATGCAAAGACATTTGAAAACATGGAGGCTAAATAGCATGCTATTAAACAATGAATGGGTTACCAAGGAGATCATGGAAGGAATTACTAACTTTCTGGAAACCAATGAAAATGAACACACAACAACACAAAATCTATGGGATGCAGCGAAAGCAGTTCTGAGAGGGAAGTTCATAGCACTACAAGCCTACCTCAAGAAACAAGAAAAATTTCTAATAGACTATCTAACCTCACAACTTAAAGAACTAGAAAGCAAACTAAAAAAAAAAAAAAAACCCAGAGCAAACAGAAGGAAGGAAATAGTAAAGGTCAGAGCAGAAATAAACGACATAGAGACCAAAAAAATATTCAAAGGATCAATGAAACAAAGAGCTGGTTTTTCAAAAAGATAAACAAGATTGATGAACCCTTAGCTAGACTCACCAAGAAACAAAGAGAGCAAACCCAAATACACTAAATCAGAAATGAAAGAGAAGTAACAACTGACACCACAGAAATAGAAAGAATCGTTAACAAATACTATGAACAATTATATGGCAACAATTTTGACAATCTAAGTGAAAAGGACAAATTTCTAGAAACACATAGTCTCCCAAAACTGGACTGGGCAGAGATAGAAAACTTGAATAGACCAATAACAACTAAGGAAATTGAGGATATACTCAAGACTCTCCCAGCAAACAAAAGCCCAACCTGGATGGCTTCACGGGGTAGTTTTACTGAACATTCAAAAAAGAACTAACACCCATTCTCCTCAAACTATTTCAAAAAATTCAAGAAGAAGGAAGACTTCCAAACTCGTTTTATGAGGCCACCATAATTCTAATTCCAAAACCAGAAAAAGACACTACAAAGAAAGAAAACTACAGGCCAGTATCCCTGATGAACACAGACACCCAAATCCTGAACAAAATACTAGCAAATGGGATCCAGCAATACATCAAAAAATTATTTACCACGACTAAGTGGGATTCATCCCAGAGATGCAAGGCTGGTACAATATTTGCAAATCAATAAATGTGATACACTAAATAAACAAAATGAAAGATAAAAATCACATAATCATATCAATAGATGCTGAAAAAGCATTGGACAAAATCCAGCACCCATTCCTGATAAAAATGCTCAGCAATGTGGGAATAAAGGGATCATATCTCAACATAATAAAGGCCATATATGAAAGACCTACAGCCATCATCATACTCAATGGGCAGAAACTAAAAGCATTTCCCTTAAGAACAGGAACAAGACAGGGATGCCCACTTTTGCCACTCTTATTTACTATAGTACTGGAAGTCTTAGCCACATCAATCAGGCATGAAGAAAAAAATAAAAGGGATCCAAATTGGAAAGGAGGAAGTGAAACTATCATTATTCACAGATGACATGATATTATACACAGAAAACCCTAAAGACTCCATCAAAAATCTACTAGACTTAATAAATGAATTTGGCAAAGTAGCAGGATACAAAATTAACGTCAAGAAATCAACAGCATTCTTATACACCAATGATGAACTCACAGAAAGAGAAACTAAAAAAACAATCCCATTTACCATTGCGGAAAAAAATTAAGATACCTAGGAATAAACTTAACCAAAGAAGAAAGGACCTATTTGCAGAAAACTGCAGGACATTGAAAAAGAAATAGAGGAAGATATAAAAAAGTAGATGCATATATCTTGTTCATGGATTGGAAGAATTAACATCATTAAAATGTCCATATTACCCAAAGTAATCTATAGATTCAATGCAATCCCCATCAAAATACAAACGACATATTTCACAGAACTAGAACAAATACTTCAAAGGTTCATATGGAACCAAAAAACCTTGAATAGTCACAGCAATCTTGAAAAAGAAGGACAAACTAGTTGGGATCACAATACCAGATATCAGGTTATACTACAAAGCTACTGTAATCAAAACAGCCTGGTACTGGCACAAGAACAGGCATATAGACCAGTGGAACAGAAATAGAGAACCCAGATATGGACCCAAGACATTATGTTCAATTAATGTTTGACAAAGGTGGCAAGAGCATATAATGGAGTAAAGACAGCCTCTTCAATAAGTGGTATTGGGAAAACTGGACAGCTACATGCAAAAAAAATGAAACTAGACCATCAACTTACACAAGAATAAACTCAAAATGTATAAAAGACTTAAATATGACTCGTGAATCCATAAAAATCCTAGAAGAAAATGTAGGCAACAAAATTTCAGACATCAGACGCAGCAAAATTTTCACTGATACATCACCTAAGGCCACAGAAACAAAGGAAAAAATGAACACGTGGGACTACATCAAACTAAAAAGCTTCTGTACATCAAAAGAAACAACCATCAAAATGGAAAGGAGCCCTGGCCGGTTTAGCTCAGCTGTTAGAGCGTCAGCCTGTGGTCCAGAGAGACCCAGGTTCGGTTCCCGCTAAGGGCACATACCTCAGTTGCAGTTTGTCCCCGGCCCTGGTTGGTCGTGCAGGTGGCAGCCACTCGATGTGTTCCTTGCACGTCGATCTCTTTCTTTCTCTTTCTCTCTCTCTCTCTCTCTCTCTCTCTTTCTCTCTCTCTCTCTCTCTCCCTCCCCCTCCTCCCTCCCTCCCTCCCTCCCTCCCTCCCACCTCCCACTCTATCTGAACAAAAAATGGAAAAATGTCCTCAGGTGAAGATAAAAAAAACAAAATGGAAAGGAAACCCACTGTATGGGAGAACATAATTGCCAATAATACATCAGATAAGGGGTTAATTTCCAAAATATATAGAGTGCTCATACAACTCAACAAAAGGAAGACAAAGAACCTAATTTAAAAATGGGCAGAGGACCTAAATAGGCACCTCTCCAAACAGGACATACAAATGGCTAAGAGACATATGAAGAAATGCTCAACATCACTAATCATCAGAGAGATGCAAATCAAAACAATGAGGTATCACCTCACACCTGTCAGAATGGCCGCCATCAACAAACCATCAAACAGCAAGTGCTGACAAGGGTATGGAGAAAAGGGAACTCTAGTACACTGCTGGTGGGAATGCAGACTGGTGCAGCCACTATGGAAAACATTATGGTGTTACCTCAAAAAATTAAAAATTGAACTGCCATTTGACCCAGTGATCCCACTTCTAGGAATATACCCTAAGAAGCCTGAAACACCGATCAGAAAGAATATGTGTACCCCCATGTTCATAGTAGCACTATTTACAATAGCTAAGATCTGGAAACAGCCCAAGTGTCCATCAGTAGACGAATGGATAAAAAAGCAGTGGTACATATACACAATGGAGTACTATGCAGCTGTAAGAAAGAAAGATCTCTTATCCTTTGAGATAACATGGAGGGACCTGTAGAGTATTATCCTAAGTGAAACAAGCCAAGCAGAGAAAGACAAATATCACAGGATCTCACTTATTTGTGGAATATAATGAACATAACAGTCTGAGGACCAGGGTAGACCCAGAGACATGGAAGTAGGGTAAGTCTGACAACCCTCAGAAGAGGGGTTGGGGGTAGGAGGGAGGAGATAAACCACAGAGCTTATATGCATGTATGCATAACTGATGGGCATGGACAACAAAGCTGGGGACTGGGTGGGGTGGATGGGGAGGATGGTGTCAATGGGGAAAAAAGGAGAAACATCTATAACAGAAATAAAAATAAATAAAATTAAAAGCTTCATATTTTCCACTTTTTAAAAAAAAGATGTGCAGTAAGTATAATATACCCACAATAGATTTCAAAAACTTAATGTGAAAAAATAAACATCTCATTAATAATTTTTATATTAACTACATGTTGAAATGCTATATTTGTATATAGTAGTCACTTTATTAAACCATCCATTGTTACCCAGTTTGATTGTACCATATTTTTCTTACAGAGGTCTTCTTGACTGATAGATACACCAGTAAAATGCAGTATACTTCTTTTTTTTATCCTCACCCGAGGACATTTTTCCAGATTTTGTTCAGATAGAGTGGGAGAGAGAGAGAGAGAAACATCAATGTGAAAGGGACACATCAAGTGGCTGCCTCCGCATGACCCAACCAGGGCCAGGGACAAACTGCGACCATGGTACATGCCCTTAGCGGGAACCAAACCAGGGTCTCTCTGGACTGCAGGCCGATGCTCTAATCGCTGAGCCAAACCAGCCAGAGTAAAATGAAGAATAGTTTTTAAAAAACTTTTATTTATATCAAATTTTATATTATTAAGTTGAAACTTTTTTATTTCTCTCTCTTCTCTCTGACACACACACACACACACACACACACACACACACACGTGCACCCTTATTAATTTCAATTATATTGTTTACAGAAGTAACCACTTCTTATTTTCCCCCTCTGGGTTCATAAAAATAAAATGTTTCCCACCTTCTAAAGGAATGGGGTCACCAGAACCAAGTTTGGGTGAAAGTCCCAGAAGGAATTGTAATCATGTATTAAATCCAATATTAAATAAAATTATTTGATGGTAATCTATTTTATTTGGCCTTCCTCATTCGGAATAGCTAAAAGCAGATTTCTAGATCTGCCTCAAAATCCTCTTTTCCTACAACAGATTAGGTTGTGCCTGTTGATCATCTCTATGATTTGAGATTTATAATAAGTGGGTTTGGCTCCCAAATACTTTTAAGGTATTTTTTGTTGTTGTTTTTGGATCCAGGCTATAAAACAGAAATGGGATAAGATTTCAGTGTTTACATAAGCAAACTTGTGAATTCTAATTGCACTTGCTGAGGGGCAGTGTTTAGAGAAGAAAAAGCAATAATCTTGGAACAGAGACATGAGTTTGAGTATCAGCTCTGCCATATATAAGTTTGTGGTACCCTTGTTTGTAAAATACAAATAATACTTAACACCCTCTTGGGTTTTTTAAGGACCAGAATAGGTAATGTGCCTGACAGTGCTGTGTATATACAGACATAAGGAAGAAAGGAGTTGCTATTGGCTCTATTTTTATGACCTTTTATTTTCATTATTATCATCAACTATACTATTTATTTGATTCTGAACTGCTATGCAGTGAGCAAGCAGTATAATTAAGAAGCTAGGAGTATGGGAATCATTGATAAGCATCATACATCACATATGTTACCATGCAAAATACATGAACAGAATATCAGTGTTGCCATGACAGCCTTTGTGGACTTAAAGCAATATTAAATCCCAAGTTCATCAGGAAACAGGTCATCTGTCTACTTCCCTTTTCACTATGCCTGTAAGCCCTGTATTCATGCAGAGTTAAGTGCATGCTTTGAAGTTATAAGGAGACTGTCTAGTATATATTTGGGAGAGAAAATAATGGTTAAGTGCATGCCAAGCTTTAGCCATTTGAGCAACTTCTTAACTTCTCTGAGCCTCACTCGCTGTTTCTGTGAAGTGGAATGGTAGTGCCTACCTTCAGATTATTGTGAGGATTAAATGAGAAAATGAGTGTAATGCCCATGAGTATAACAAATACTCCATAAATACTAGCTATAACAAATGCTCCATAAATACTAGCTACTAGAAAAGACTAAACATGTCCTAATTTGGCTTCTCATTCCTGATCAAGGTACAAGTTCAGTTGTGGACATCAGAAAAGAAAATGTTCCTGTCCACAGTTTTATTACACTTATGTTCACCTGGATATTGTCAAAAATGACTTGATTATTCAAGAGATATAGGGATATTTGGCTTCTAGTTTGTGGGAGGGCTTACCCTCTGCCCCACATCAGCTCAGCACTCACTCCCCAGATCCATAGATGGAGAGTCTGGGGCAAAGTCAGAGTAATACTTCACCACTCCATCCTACACCAATCCTTAAAGAAAGGAGGTACAGGGTCTCTTCATATTCCCCTGACAAGATCCATAGACGCCACTTCTCCCACAAAATATTCCATGGAATAAGTAAATAGAACCCATACTTGTGTGACAGGAGTGGCATCAACACTTGCAGATCTGGTTCCTGGCACATTTTGATGTATAAATACCATGACAGTGAAAAGGCATGCAATACTGCACTAATGCAGCTCTCTCATGAAAGTAAACCCTGGCACAAGATAACGCATGGCTTTAAAACTCGGTAGCATCTTTGTGTTGTGCTTGGTTAGTATATTTGCCTATTAATGGAAAGGTTAGTGGTTTGAACCTACCTAGGAATGGTCTTGTCTCCGGCCAATTTCTTGGTGATGAAAATATTCTGGAATTAGACAGTAGTGATGGTTGCACAACATTGTGAATGCAGTGCCACTGAATTGTACATGTTCAAATGGTGAATTTTATGTTACACGTCTTTTACTTCAATAAAAACAAAACCCCAGTAAATTCAGTGGAGAATGCATTTCCTAACCCTGCATCGTAACTATATTATTCTTCCTGACATGTATACATGTAGTATATGCCCTGATATCTGAAGGACTATATGTACATCAGCTTTTTAAGAATCTCTGGTCTGGATATTCCACTCTGTAGCATTTTGGCATCACCCTGGAATGTGTGACTTATCCACATCCCTGTTTTTGTATTGGATTTAGTAGTATATTAACTGCACAAGCACATAAATTCCCTTGCAAGACTCTTTGGTCTTAGGATATATTTGCCTAGTCTAGAAAATTCTCCCATGCAAAAGGCAGGCTGGGAATGGGATGTGTATCTGCCCTCTCCAAAGGCATTGTATGGCTTTCTTAATAAATGGGAAATAAGAGAGAAAGGGTCTGTAAGAATATAGCTGAGATTCTTCTTTTAGCCAGCACAACTTCCCAGTGCAGGATTCAGGACCCTGTTCTTCTGGACAAAGGCAATATTGTTATTTTTAAAGCAAAGATCATGAAAGGTGGCAGGTTTTTAAGACCTACACAAGCATAGAGTACAAAAAATAAGTGGGGGAGAGTGGTGGTTGGGAAAGACTCACAAAAGATACAATGTCCGCCAGGGAAGTCCTTGAGGCAGAAGGTGGTGAATACTTCCCAAGGAAAGATTTCAGCAGAGCCAAGGAAGCTTCATACAGGTCAAGACTGGCCTTGGTGAGCAAGGAAGGATGACCTTGTATACCACTGTGGAGGAAAGTGCTACCTGGACAAGTTCTTTTCTCACTCCAGCCAGCAGATTTCAACTGCTCCCGCTATACCATGTCTTTCCGGAAATATGAAGGCTTGCGAAAGATAATCAAGCCTATGACAACCACTGCGACTAGGATCAAGGAGAAGAGGACCATGAGGAAGATATAGGTAGAATGGGTGAGAGGTGTGGACAACGGCTGCTCAGCAGGGATCATGTTGGTCAGGTTCAGCATGTAGCCCAGAGTCCATCCCACATCTGTGCTCCGGATCTGTAAACAGTGAGGAAAATTTGTTGTTTCTGATCTGAGGATCAAATGAGCTTTCGTGCAGCCCCATCCATAACGCTGAGCAACCAGAAGGTAGAGAGCACCACATTCCATTCTCTACAGGGACTACTTCTACACTCTAAACTGGGAATTTGGTTGTGTGGGAAATAAGGGACAAGTGCTTAGGGAGGAGAGTTGAGAGCCTCACTACTATATTCCCAAAATTCAGAGAGGATCTTGGTGACAGACTGCCCAATTCTGCAGAATTTAAACTGGCCTTTGGAGATTTGCATTCCGCTTTTGTTGATTGTGTGACTGTCAGGGTTCAGAGGTGGGTGGGGAAGAGAGATGGAAGGTGACAGAAAGCAGGCAAAGGGTAAAAAAATAGTGATGGCTCATGACCTTTTCCATCTGTGTCAGGATCAGGAGTCTCATCCATATAAAACCAGGACTTTTTTATGATTCAACTAGGGAAAATTAGGGAATAATCCCAGCAAGTCAATCTTACTTTATGGAAGTTGAAAGACTGCATATGCATTAGAAATGATTCTTATTAAATAATAAAACATGCTCTGACCCTGACATCTTCCTATGAATATTTTCCAGTTGCCTCAAAACTTATTGTAATATAGGTAGTCTATGAATAATAAATACTTTTGAAAATGTTTTTATTACATGAGTTGTCATGGTAGAAAAGTTAGAAAGTACAGATAATCCTAAAAATAAAAATTGAAAAACCATCTATACTTCACCACTCAGAAGTTGCTGTTATTATCATTTTGTGACGTCCTTCCAATCCTCTCTGTGAGGTTTTTTACTGAAATATGGAATTAAATTTATGTCGACTTATTCACTTAAGAATACCTTGTAAAATCCATGTCTCATAGAATTTCTATATCATCACTGGAATGAACTGCCTTATATGTTCGTTTTTACTCACTTTGTTCATTACTTATAAATCCTAGAAATGGAGTAATTTGATAAAATAAGGTGCAAATTTTAGGGCTCTTAGTATATATTGCCTATGCAGTCTTCCCAAAGGTTGTGGCAATTTATATTCCAGCCAATACCATGTGGAAATGTTCCTCTCTCTTGATCCGTTACCAATACTGGGAATTAATAATTTGTAAAAAGCCCATTTCCCTTTATGGTGAACAGGAACCTTATCTGACTGTGTCAAGGAGGCTCCAGAGTTGGTTATCACCTAGGATTTAGAAGTATTGGATCATTCACTGGAGTTCAGAGAATATAAATCATTTGTAAATTTGACATAGACATGTCCTTCAAACAGACAAAATAAACTGATGGAATGGGATATTAAAACAAGGAAACATTTGCATTTGAATTAGCAAGGTCAGTCTTGGCAAGAGTGTAATGAAATTAGTATTCTCATGGCTGCTACAGTCCTCTGCCTCAATGTTGTGTTTTCCCCGAAATCACCATATTTAATAAAGGGGGTAAATTGTGTTTGCCATTATTGGGTATGGGCATAAAATGTAGAGAAATACTTTTCTTGATATTTTTAAGCATGAGTTAGTTGTCCATGAGCCATGCAGCTGATGTAAATGCTTCTCTATGCTTGGATACCTGCAGGTGGCGCTATGGTAAAGCACAGCAGTGAAGTTGCTTCTTTAAAGCTCATGTTAAGCCTGGTTTCTAAGCAAACCCCAATTCACAGCCACTCATCCCCTTCTTCACAGTGAGTTTTCAGATTGATCAACCTTGAAGCTACAACCAACAAAGCCTTCACCCCTTATAAGAAACCATGATCATCCCTTCCAGATTCATGGAAGGGGCCTTTAGGATGGATGTTGAGATCAGCACACAAAATCATGGTGGCTACTAAAATTCTATCACATTACTTTAATATCTCACTTTTTGTTTTGTAAGGAATTTGTCACTGTTATGTAAGCAGAAAGGAGAGGCTGGGAATGCAGGTAGTTCTTCTTAGATAGGATATCCACAACTGGCTGGTTGACAAACCTAGGAGTGTTTGGCACAAGTGCCAGCTTGGTTTAGAGGTGAAGTGGTAGAACATGACATCAGGCCAAAACTTAAATCAGGTTGACTCCTGCCTCCTTCAAGCCCAAAGCTGCTTCAGTCACAACAACCCAATCTCCCCCCAACCCAACAAGTATCCAAATTACCTGGCCCATGAAATGAATATTCTTCCAGGAATCAGGTGTGAAATGATAGCCCCTCTCAAGGAGAGCGATAATGTAGGTTCCAGAAAAGCAGTATTCACTCAGGTACTTCTCCTTCACTTCACCAAAATGTATCTTCAGCTGGAAGTGAAGTAAAGGAAATATCATACTTGTACAATAGGCACCTCTCCAAGCTCTTTTTCAGTTGATCAAAAGAGAGGAAAGCCCCAGCTCACACAGACCTGAAAGTCGGCCTCTCCAGAGGGCTTTGGGAATGGTGCTGCACTCTTTCAATGGGTGCAGGGGTTTATAGTTCAGGGTCTGCTTAGAGGACTTTTACTCTATGGTTCTGTGAGATAGTAATAAGTATTCCGGGAAAAAAGTCATTTCTGTTGTCTAGTAGGTCAGAAACACTTTCATCCCTTATAAAACTTGAGTTTCACAATCAGATTAGCATGTTACAGGTGTGATAAACCTTGCATAAAAGAAATCATTTAATCTTTGCTTAATCAGAGTTTTCTATATGCTCTTGACCAGAGTCTTTGGTTCAGCGCCTCCATAAGCATCTTAAGAAAATAGTGTCATAAAGAGCCACTCAGTTTAATCTCTGGACTGGCAGCATCAGCATCCCCTAGGAGTTTGTTAGTCCTCACCCAGATCTGTCAACACAGAATGTGATCACGTGCCTAGTCAAGTTTGAGAAACAGAGGTCTGGAACAGTTTAGAAAGCATTTTGCTCAGGATTGCTAAAAGGGCCAACATCTCACCTTCTGTCCTCTGTCCTTACCTAACTTATTTTATTTGCATCTGAGTCACTCAAAGGGGACTTCTTGAGTCCTTTGTGTATTTACTTGCCCTACTCCTGAATGAAGATACTAATGGCTACCTGCCAACCCTTGCCTAGCTGTTGTGACTATATGTCCAGATGCCCACCTCTTGCTCTGTTCCTCTTCTCCCCTCAGTTAAGGTCAACAGGCCAGGACATCTCTAGCTCAGCTCAAGTTCTTTCTTCTGCCCTATTCCTCAGCCCTTTAGATAGGCATACCCTCCTGTACACCCTAGGAAAAGAGAGAACTAATATTTGTTAAGCATGTACTAGGGATTATGCCAGATGTTTTATATGTAGGGCCTCCTGGCTGCCTGTCTTGCCCTCTTTTGCTCAGATTTCTCTCCCCTCACAAGGAACATCCCATCTCAAAACCCTAACTGCTAGCTGGAGTCTATTTCTTACTTGGCTCCTGCCAGCCTTCAATCCCTGGAAAACTAACTCTACACCAAATTCCATGCCTGCCTTGACCTGCTCTGATGGAATTCTTCGAATGAGCTTGGAACCTTTATTTTTTTAAAACCTCACCCGAGGCTATTTTTCCATCTATCTTCAGAGTGGGAGGAAAAGAGAGAGACATCAATGTGAGAGACACACCAGGGTCTAGGATGAACCACAACCCAAGTACGCGCCCTTGACCAGAATCAAATCCACGACTCTTTGGTCCAAGGGCTGATGCTCTAACCACTGAGAAAAATTAGCCAGGGTGGAACCTTTCCTTTTTTTTATAGTTCTTGAAATTACTCTTTGATCAACTTCTCTGCATATGATATTCTCCTGAGACCTTGGTATGACATCAGTTGACTTTACCTGTCCAGGTCCCTACACCTTTCTTTCTGCATTCTGCTTTTCGTTTGTCGAAAGACCCGTTCCTGGCTGTGTGTGTGTGTGTGTGTGTGTGTGTGTACACATTTAGTTTTATTGTAACAAAGCAACTTGTACACTTTTAACGTTTAAAACTGAGCATCATCTTTTCTTTCCAGTGAAACAAAGAGAAATTTTTAAAATAAACAGGAACAAAATTACAATAGAGAAATGTCAATTCCGAATAAGATCCTACTGGTTCTGCTGATTCTCCCATCGAGTGGCAGAGCTCAAGTCATCATTAGGAGAGAATTTTAAAAGTGTTTTCTTAAACTGCAAGGATGTCCATTAAATATCACAATTAAACATGCCAAAGGAGAAGCCATGTTGTCAAAATGTCCACTTAACCCACCCAAACATCTCAAACCCACCCTTTGCTAACCTTCTATAACCGCCCCCCCCCCCTTTTTAAGTTTTTTTTTTTTTCTTTTTTTAAACAAGAGAAAGTAGACAGATACATGTTGGTAAATGCTAACTGTCCATGTTCACATAGAGACACAGTGTAATCTCTGAGCCCAATATACAGAGAAAGGAGGAAAAAAGCTAGAATTCTATGCACTACTACACAGGGGCCTAGCACCCTCCAGCTTCCAGCAGAGCTAAGGGAGCAGAAGGTTCTTCTTTTTTCCCACAGAGCATGGTGGTGTTGATTCCATAAAGTTTCTTGAGACAAGAAGGGATAAAAATGAATTTGGAACAGAAAGGGGCAGAGATTCTTTTCCCACTGTATTCTGCTCAAAGTACATCCCCCCAAATAAGGTAAGAACCATGGTGTAAAGGAGAGAAAAGAGACCTCAAAAACAGGGTGACTGAGCACAAAGAGGGTGAGGGGGGAAGACTGCAACTTGCTCCCAGGGACTGGAGAAAATTAAAAAAGGTTGCCTGTCAAACAAAAACCCCTATGGGATACACTGTTTCAACCTCATAGGTTCTTGAAGGCTTGACCATGCCTTGGAGGAATGGCATTTTGGTGTAATTTCCCTGAATTTTTCCAACATTCCTATCCCCCTCCTCCTTCTGGGAAACTACATTGGCTATGCAGTCTAACCTGCTGAGGATTAATTCATATTAGCCAACAATACAGAAGCCAAAGGTTCATCAATCCAGAATTGATCATGTGGATTTTTTTTCCCAGTTACAATTGACATAAACTATTATATTAGTTCCAGGTGTACAACAGTGATTAGACATTTATGTAACTTACAAAGTGATCACCCCAATAAATCTAGTACCCACCTGACACCATACATAATTATTATAATATTATTGACTACATTACCTGTGCTGTACTTTACATTAAGATCATTTGTATTTCTTAATCCCTTCACCTTTTACACCTCAGAATTGATCATATTAATGCTTGTGGACTCAATACTATGTGCTCGCCAAAAGGGGCGACGGTTCGCTCTCCTTTGCATTTTATTTCCTCTGCCAAAGCAAGGACAGGCAGCACTATTTTTTTTAATCCTCACCCAAGGATATTATTCCATTTATCTTCAGACAGAGTGGGAGGGAGGAGGAGAGAAGGAAAGAGAGAGAAACATCGATGTGAGAGGGACACATTGGCTACTTCCCATACGACCCCAACCAAACTGAAACTGAGGTATATGCCCTTGACTGGAATCAAACCCATGACTGATTGGTCCACGGGCAGATGCTCCAACCGCTAAGCCAAACCAGCGAGGGCAGCGCTATGATAGTATGTATAAAGCATCTAGCCCACTTTTCAGCACATAATATAGGCTTAACAATTGTTAGTTCTCTGTCTGCCAAAGGTGTCTGTCTAGAAGAGACATTCCCAAACTAAAGTCACACTGGGGTAGCAGTCTTTTCTCGTGTTGAAATAAGCAGGAAAAGAAGAAAAGAGTTACCCTATAACAGAATATTTGATAAAAACAAACAAACTACGCTTTCCATATAGATGGACAACGCAATTAGAAAAAACACTGGATCATAACATCCATCTCAACATTCTAGGCCCTGAGTGAGGGTTTGGGTCTCACCCACCTGCAGCTCCATCCCCACCCACCCTGTATTCCCACATCCTTCCCCCACCAAATGTTTCAGAATTTCTTCCAAATGCAGGCCTTTTGGAACTTATTTCCAGGGCCTCAGCCTCTGAGCAGTTCTTCATGTGACTTATCTGAGCAGACCTACAGGTCTGATTACTCTAAGATTCCAAAGCTAATGTAATCTGATGAAATAAAAAGTGGATGAGCCCTGGCCAGTTAGGCTCAGCAGTTGGAGCCTTGACCTGCAGACATGGTTCGCAGGGTTGATTCCTGTCAAGGGCATGTACCTCCTTTAAGGTTCATCCTCGGCCCTGGTTAGGGTCATGCAGGAGGCAGCCAGTCGATGTGTCTCTCTTACATCAATGTTTCTCTCTCTCTCTCCCCCCCTCCCTCCCCCCCCTCCTCCTCCCTCCTTCCCTACCTCCCTTCCATTCTATCTAAAAATTAATGGGAAAATATCCTTGGGTAAGGATTAATAACAACAACAACAAAAGATTTTTTTTAAAGTAGATGGCAGTAAGGAGAGAATACCTGACAGAGCTTTCACCCAAAAGAAGAAGTAATTTTGTTTTTATGAGCAGCCTAAATCTACTTTCTCAGCAGCCTGATGTTAAATTTCGTTAACTCCAAGATGTTACTATTCCTCCATAGATTACCAACTACAAAATGCCTCCCCTAAGTGTTTTGTAAACTATAAGAACTGGGGCATATTTGAGCAGGTCTTTCAAAAAGCCCTGAATATCCTTCCTTCCTTTAACTCAGACAAAATACTTAGGGAGAATTCCAAACGTTCAGGCTCTTGCACAACCTTCCTTCCCCCTTTGTCAGTGCCGATGAGAACAGCATCCATTTTTAATTAATTGCATTTTTTCAGAATGAAAGCACTATTCATTTTTGCAACTGTGTCAACTTAAAACAGCTGCTGTTTGCACTACCTTAGATGATCTGTCTTTTTAAAATCAGAGTAGACCACATAGCTCTCTTCTTCCTAGAAACTTTCGTCAAATAGTGCGAAATCTTGAATGATTCAGTGCCTCAGACAAGAAAAGGCATGCTTCAAATTTATGAACAATAGGGTTATCTTAGACCCAGGCAGTGGTGTCTGGGAGATTCCGTGAATTGTCATCTTTCTTGCTAATAAAACTCCAGTTTGGATGTTTGGGGAGCAGAGTGGGCAATAATGTGCCCAGCTCCAGGAAGCAGCTCATGGTGGATTTAAGGTTCTAAGACTGTCACAAAATCCTTCACCCTGCTTTCCCAGCCAATCCTGGCCAATGAGATACAAGAGAAACTGCTAAGGAGCTTCTGGGATAGTTTTTGCTTTCCTGCAAAAATGAATAGATGTATCTGGCTTGAACATGGCTGTGATTCCTGAAGCTAGATCTTGTGTCCAGTGTCCGTGAGAAAATAGGTATAATAACAGAACTGAAGAAGTAATGGCTGAGATAGAGTCAAACTGCGGACCCCATGCCAGCAGCTGCCTACTGCCAGACTTCGCTTTAGGTGAGAAAAATAAGACATTTTTGTTTAAGCCATTGAATGCCACGTTATCAAGAAATGCCAATGAACTCATTTAGGCTTCCCTCACAGGTTTGCTGTATCTTGGTCAAATTAGCACTACTTGAAGGGCAGACCCACGTGTTATCAAGGGTACAGAACAACAGTAACAGCTGCTATTTCTAGTCACTTACCTCTTCCCAAGACTGAGAGCAGAACTTTTCCATCGTGTCAATCATCTGTTTCTGAGAGAAGGATTTATCTGATGTGAGATTTAAAAACTTCATCACATAGTAATAAGCTGAAAATGCCTGCAAGAGAAAAATGCAATTTCACAGTGTGCAACACAGAGGGATGCTGACTCACTTTCTGGAAGGCCATACCCTTAGCGAAGGTGCCTGGAAATCTCTGTTGAGTCAATTCATAGAATTTTTGATACTTCAGACCCATGTCACTTAGCTGCTGATAGCATTTTTGAGCCAGCTGGTAACTAATTTTCTCTATAATTTTAATGGGAGAGTCAGGGAGAAAAAAATGAGGAAAAGAGAGAGGAGGCTGTTACAAAAATCTCATCTTCAAAAAATTATGTGTTTTTGCCCTAGCCGGTGTGGTTCAGTGCTTGGAATGTTGGCCCAAGCACCAAAGGGTCATGGGTTCAATTCCCGGTCAAGAGCACATACCTGGGTTGTGGGTTTTCTCCTGATCCCCAAGTTGGAGGCAACCAGTTGATGTATCTCTCTCACTTCGATGTCTCGCTCTCTCTCTCTCTCTCTCTCTCTCTCTCTCCCTACCCTCTCTTTAAAAACCAGTGGAAAAAATATCCTCGGGTGAGGATTAATAAAACAAAAAATCACTTGTAACCTCCTAACTGCCAAAATCAGAAGTCTTTTTTTTTTTTTTCATTCCACCTCTTCCTTAACTTTTGGCTGCATAGCATTCGTTCATTCAACAAATATTTACTGGGTACCCACCGAGTTCTAAGCAGTGATCAAAACATTAAAATTCATACCTTCTAGTGGAAGGCAGCAGAACTCCAATAAATAACAGATGGTATGATGGGTGGTGGTAACAAGTGCTATAAAAATAAAGCCCTAGCCCTGCCCAGTTTGTCTCAGAGGTCGGAGTGTCTGCCTGCTGACCAAAGGGTCTTGGGTTTGATTCTGGTCAAGGGCACATACCTCGGTTGTGGTTCATCTCTGGCCCTGGTCAGGGTTGTGTAGGAGGTGGCCAGTCGATGTGTCTCTCTCACATCGATTTTTCTCTCTCTCTCTCTCCCTCCCTCCCACTTTATCTGAAGATAAATAGAAAAATATCCTCGGGTGAGGATTTAAAAATAATAATAATGACAATAAAGCCTTTTTTTACATACCCTACATACATAGAGCCTTTACACAGATTAAAGAAGCCCACAGAGTAGGCATAGTTCATTTATAATTTCTTCCAGACCTGAAGCAATTGATTTCAGGGGTCATTTTTGTCATAAGAACTGTTGCCTGGTAATATACCTGACATTCTACCTTTATCAGGTTTCCAGGGAAACAAATCCAGAAAGTTAACCTAAAGCCAAATTTGTCCATAAAGGAAGAAAAAGGTTTCTTAAATCATTTTCCAAAGGTCCAATAAAAATTGATAGTACTCTGAAAAAAAAAGATGAAATGAAGCACTGTAGTCATAGAAGGAACAGGCATTACAATCTAGTCTCAAGATTCCACCCCAAACTAACCACTTGACATATTCTCCTAACCCCCATTCTAACTTGATTACTCACCCTAACTTGCTTCTCTAACTTGTATTACTAGGTATTAGGGTGTCTCTGCTCAGCAGGAAGCCTTTTAGAGGCAGAAGTAGCATCAATTGCAGAGTCCTTTGTCTCTGGCATACTCTCTGTATTTGCTTTCCATACTTTCAAATAGACTTGATCTCTGACACTTGTGTGGCATTCACTTCCAGCCACTGCCCTGCTTGGGCTCATGGTTCTACTTTAACCTTCCGTTTTTATGTACTTTTTGTTTTAGACTAAGCTCTAATGTAGAGTTCATAGGTCCACCTCAAGGGATCATGTCTTTTAAATTGTATGCAAATACTTTGGCATACCTTTACATGCCCATTTTTCTGCTTAGAAGACCCTTAGCTTTTCACATTCTTCAAAGAGTCTTGTGATCCCTTAGAGAGTTAAGAATGATTGGTCTATTGAAGACATTATGCTAAGTGAAAAAAGCCAGTCACAAAGGGACAAATATTGTGCGATTCCATATATGTGAGGTACCTGGAATAGTCAAATTCATAGCAACAGCCCTGGCCGATGTTTCTCAATGGTTAGAGTTGTCCTGTATACCAAAGGGTTGTGGGTTCAATTCCCAGTCAAGGGCACGTACCCATGGGCAATTCTGGAAGGAAATACTACTGACTTGGCTCTAGGAATTCCTGACTTTGCCTTTAGGTGCGGGTGGGATGCCCTCCCATTGAGGGGAAACTCTGTGATCAACTTCCTGATTTCCGTATTAGGAATCAACCTTACTTTATAAGCCTTTATTTGATTGGTGTCTATAACCTGTGGGTCTGCATTTAAGTAGCAACTCAGAATAGGAACACTCTAGGACATCTTCAGAGAACATAACCTCAAAAAGTCAGCTCCTCCTCTTTTTTCATTTGCTAGGTTAGATAATCCATATTTATGGAAGGTAATTTGAAGATTATATGTCTCTCCCCTCTTCCAGCTACTGTAAATTCTTTTCTTCTATCAGGATGACTATCAAAAACCTATATTGCCTCAGTCTATCACAGAATTTCTATAACTGAAAGTTGCTATGCCCTGGCCAGTTTGGCTCAGCAGTTAGGGCATCGGCCTGCGGACCAGAGAGTCCTGGATTCGGTTTCCGCTAAAAGCACGTACCTCGGTTGCAGTTTGTCCCTGGCCCTGGTTGGGGTCATGTGGGTGGCAACCAGTCGATATGTCTCTCTCATGTTGATGTTTCTCTCTGTCTCTCTTCCTCCCTCTCTCCCTCCCACTCTATCTAAAGATAAATGCAAAAATATCCTCAGGTGAAGATTTAAAAAAAATTTAATTGAAATTTTAAAAATATATGATCAAAGACATTGTCTAGAAAAATCTTCTTTGTAAAATATCCTTGGGATTCAATTTTGGAATAGCTCTGCTTTGGCCTAGGACTGGGTATGCTGGGTACAATGGAAGTTATATATCTGATTATCCTTATTTTTTCCCTTGGCTACTAGGAAGCTCAGAGCTAAATACACACACACACATGTATGTGTGTGTGTGTGTGTGTGTGTGTGTGTACATATATATACACACACACGCATTTTTAATGTTCTTCAGTTTCAGTTCCCTACTGAATTTATACCCTTTCTTGTTTATATATGATACAATGTGATCTTTTTTAAAATTCCTAAATTAGCCCTGGTCAGTTTTGCTCAGTGGTTAGAGTGTCAGCCTGCGGACCAAAGGGTCTTGGGTTTGATTCTGGTCAAGGGCATGTACCTGGGTTACAGATTTGATCCCTGGTCCCAGTGGGGATCATGCAGGAGGCAACTAGTCAATGTGTCTCTCTCACATCAATGTTTCTCTCTCTCTCTCTCTATCCCTTTCTCCCTCCCTCCCTTCCACTCTCTCTACAAAAAAAAAAAGAACGGAAAAATATCCTCGGGTGAGGATTAACGACAACAACAAAAAAAACCCTAAATTACCACATAAGTAATTCTTCACAGATGTTCTTTCTTCCTTTTTGGTGTTTCTTATTTGCCTACAAATTGGATTCTGTCTAGCAACCAAGGTGACAGTGTAGCCAAATTGACAAGAATACTGACAATTCTTAATATTCAATTTACAAACTAAGAATTAGATTATCAGTGCTAAATGCAATTGTGGCAAAAATTACCTCTCTGAAAATTCTCTGTGGTGTGAGAATATCCAGGCTAACTGGTTTTGGAAATAATTAAAATACAACTAAATTTTTTGTTATAAATAGTTATGCTTCAAGATGCAGGACTGTGCAGTGGTAACTTCCTACAGGAGTGAAGGCCTGGAATGAAGTCTTTAGGAGAAAGAACTAACTTTTTTAAGGGACCACCTGATGCTATAGTATGTTAGCTTTTCGCTATTTGCAGTGATATGGTGGAGCTGGCTCTTACCCACTAATGACAGCTAATTCTTAAAATTTCAGGAGTTCTGTGACAGTTGGTATCATGTTGATAGCTTAAAATATGCCATGATGGGAGTATTTATGCCATGCAAATTGGAAAATGCTACAAATCAGCCCCTCCATCACCAGAGAACTGATTATAAGACATTCATCAGCCCACCTCTGTTTGTCTGGCTTATCACTCACAACCAGCAATGAAATTGGTAGTTCTGTCCTCATTTGATAAATGAGACAACAGATTTTTGAAATCTTTAGGATTTAGGGAGAAATTACAGAGGACACAAAAAATATCCAGTGTGCTCAGTGGTTAGAGCATCGTCCCATGCACCAAAGGGTTGTGGGTTCAATTCCTGGTCAGGGCACGTGCCTCGTTACAGGTTCATTCCCACGTGAGGCAGCCAATCGATGTTTCTCTCTTACATTGATGTTTCTCTCTCTGTCTTGCCCTCTCCCTTTCTGTTTCTCTTTCTCTAGAACCAATGAAAAATATATCCTGGGGTGAGGGTTTTAAAAAAATCCAAAAACAGAAGCTGCCAAAACAGGAATAGGCAGAGGTACAATACTGACACTGAGGGCTATGTTCAGAGAAGAAAGACCCTATTTAGAGGAAGGCAATGTAAGGAGATTGCCAAATTGAGGTTCAGAAGATGGAAAGGAGGACAGTTTCAGTGAGGTCTAAGGGACAAAACAAAAAGCCTCCAGGGGGCATTCAAGGCTCTTCTACCTTCTTCTAACTTCAAGTCTCCCTACCTTGGTTAGAGGCATCACATTTAAAGGCAAGAAATTCCACCACCACCATCCCACCACACCGCCCAGTAGGAAGCATTTACTCAAGCCTGAAGGCTAGAATTGGGCCATGTTTCCCAGGAGGCAAAGCTTTCAAAAAGTCAACACACAACAATATATTCCTTTCCTTTCAGATATATTTTCTAGCAGTGACTGGAATGGAAAAGGCCCTTGGCTATCCCCAGCATCCCTGGCTACCTTCCTCCCTTTTTAACACCCCCCTTTATCTTCTGTAGTTGGATCCAAGGTAAGGGCCTTGGCCTAAAAAAAAGCGCAGCATGGATAGCCATTGCCGGCTTAGCTATAGGGCATTCAGGAGGTTCTAGTTTGTTCTGAATTTGGGTTTGAAGCCAACTCATAACCGAGTTTTACTCTGCGAGTCATTTTCCTGTCATGTATTTCCCTCAAAAACCTTGAGGGGAGGGGAAACTGTGGTCTGGGCCATGGTTAAGGTAAGCACAGATTACCTTGCCCATTGTCATTTTCCCAGAGACCAAAGGATGAAGAGCTCACATAGTTCACAAGTGGCAAAGCCAGGATTAAAACGAGATAGGATTGCTATAGGGCATGTGCTCTTTCCAGGGAGTTCTTTCTGTGACATTGGGCTGGGCCAAGATACCTTGGGAGAAATTCTCCTGCTGGGGTCCTAGAGGAGAGTTAAACCTCCCTCCTCACATGATGATCTGTTTTCTGAAAAAGGGAGAGCAAAACGTGAAAGCAGACAAAAGCCCTTGCTTCTTTGAGTGATACACTATCTTTGAGATAATGCATATGTAGTACTTAGTCAATAATTGGCACGTGATTGATGACAGCTAATTTTGCAATATGCTACTATACTATGATTACAGTAATGCTTGGTCTCCAGGACCAAAACATGAAACTTGTATAATGAGTAGATCAAGGGGTACCTCTTCTACTTCTGCTCAAATAATTTATTTATTTTTGAGTAATTAAGAAAAGAAGGAATTTGGAGTTGGGATTCAAACAGTCCACCAGCTCTTCCAAATGTAATGAAAATAAATCTATCTTCAGTGTTTCCTTGGGGTTTTCTGAGTTTCTGCTTCCTAAATGTCTTTATAGAGGAAAACCTTAGTCAAGACATCTAACTGCTGCTTCTTTTTCTCTGACATCTGAGAAGGCACCTATGGCAGATTCTAATGGGTGCCTACCAAAGAGCCAGCCCCCTTCTTCTGGCTTTCAGATTCCTGATTTTACCCAGGAAGGAGAAAGCAGTGTGTTCAAGAAAGACTCTCCAGAGGACGAACACTGATAAGTCTAAACTAACCATGGTGATTCATTCCCCTTTATCATAGATTGGTTTACAGCTGTACATTTCACAAAATTCTGGCCAATGGCATCTGTGAAGATGTTGGCACTTCTGCAGAAATGAAGATGTATGCAAGAGAAACTTCCCTCTTTCCTGCTTTGCATGTGAAGACTGAGAGCAGTAGCTGCCATCTTACCACCACAAAAAGATAATGGAAAAGCTGATCCCGAGACCTCATATTATTAAGCCAAAGAACGAACCCTGAATTATCTACCTCGAGGCTTATCATCATGTGAGAGAAAAATAAATCCTATTATTTAAACTCTTTGTAGTCACATATCCTATAACTTGCAGCCAAAATCATCCTAACCAATATACCGTATCATTTCACAAACTTACCCCAAATTGTCCTTGAAGTTGCGGCAGAAAAATGTCATTGAAGGCACAGTGGGAGTAAGGGCAGTAACTGGTGTTGAAGAGTTTATAGACACTTTCCTGGCACTGTTGATAGTTTCCAGTGCCGTGGATTTGCAACTGATGGTATGGAAGAGTCATCAGATTTTTCCTGGTGCAGGGGCTGTCATAAAGGTTACTCATGTTCATTACCCTGCTGTATCCACGATTAAAGCATGGGTCCTTGATGGTTCCGTTTTCATCCTGAATGGAAAAATCACTTGAAGGGGTCATGTGCAAATGCTTTGGGTACAAAAGCACCAATCTGACTTTATTAATGTGTAAGAATTATACAACATCCCAGCACTCAGCATTGGCATTAGTATGCCTCTGTCTTGCCTTTTTCAGCCTTGGGCACCAAATGTGGTAACAGATGTAAATAAACTTTCTCTATTCATAGAAAGCTACTATAGTTCAAGCCGGGCCCAGAAATGCCTTTGGTTTGGAAAGGCCCTAGTGCTCAGTTTAATCACATAGGAGAGGAGCAGATTCTCAAGGAAAGACTCTCAAAATTCTGAGCTTGAGTTGCCCCCCGCCGCCAAGCAAAAAATCAGAAGCTCCAATAGCTGGAAGTGCCTCAGATTATTTAAACCAGGAGTATCAAAATGGTCTTTAACCCAGAACCTATGTTCAAGAGAAGAAAGGGGATTGCTGTGGATCAGAGGCTTAATGGAGCCTTGGTGCTCAGTGGTCATCTCTCAGCAGCTCCTACTCCAGTGGAAGTCATCTTATAGGTAGTGCTTCTGAGAACCGGAGAGAAAGATTTGGAAGACAGCAGAGAACTTGTCCTTTTAGTGGAGACAGGGAACAGCTGGATATGACATCCTTGTTCTGTGTTTGTTTATCAGGGTGTGCCTGGTACTCGCATAATTGCAAGTATGTTTAATTTTTGTTGCCTTCAAAATGCAGAAAGTGTTTGGGGACAAGATTTGAAGTATTGATCCATAAACTTTGTGTTTTCCCTGAAGCATTTTTTCTTCCTCCTCTCCAGATTGTTTCTAACAACCCTGTTTTCTGCAGTTTGTAGAACATGGAGAGTAAAAAGTGGTAAAGAGGTTATGAACTGCACACACCCTCCCCTGCTACAATACCCTAGCATGTACTTTTTATTTTCAACCCCACTGGGCTGAGAAATTATTTCCTAAGAAAAGATCTGAGTCATGTCCTTGGAGATAGTACAGTAAACAAATATAGAAGGTGATGTCTGGAGGGAACGATTCATAAGGGTCTACCAGATGGACTTAGATATCTTGCCTGAAAAGGTTTGGGAAGTACAGCAACCAACTTCAGATAAATTACTGAAGTAGGAAGAGAAAACAACAGGATGTGGGGGCTGGCAGCCCAGATGTGGAGAGGATAGTTCTGGATTCAGTTATACTTGCCAGAATGCCCTTGGTTAGTTTCTGCAAGAGAGCTTGATCCTTCCCATAGCACAAGAAGCTGTGTGTGTATACACTGTAGTCCTTGCCATACAGACGAAAGAAGAGAGCGTTCTGTGGAGACTCAATTGTCTGGTTTCGAGGCACAAAAGTGATTTGCGTAGAGGCTCCCCCAAGGTCCAAAGCTCCATAAGTTTCCTGACTATTGCTTTCCTTTGGCAACAGGTTGAGCCATCCCAATTTCTGAAAGAGAGTAGTTACCAGTGTTAGAAATCTCTGGACACCCCCTTTTTCACACTATCTGGGACTCAGGAACTTCCTAATGTGAAGGAGCAGGGGCATAAGGGTGGCACAAATCTCACTGGAGGTTCCTGAATCCACATCAGATCAACAGCAAGAAAAGGGGGTGCTTAAAGACACAGTTCACACTGCAGCAGGACAGAAGCAGTAGTTAGTGTTTATGAACAAGGGGTTTGGGGCAGAAAGACTCCAGTTCACATCCTCACTTATTTGCTTATTAGCCGTGTAACCTTGAGCAGAATAACCTTCTCTAGGCCTCAATTTGGGGCTCCAAAAATGAGAGAACACCTCATATGGTTCTGAAGATTAAATCATACAGTGCATGCAAAGTGCTTGGCATAGCACAAGACACATAGCACTAGGCAAATATTAGTTATTATTTTTAATGAAATATTTTTATGTCTCTCTGAAGTGAAGATATGGCTTCCTTATTCTCCAATAGTAAAAGTTCTTGTAAGATAATTAAACCTCAGGTGACCCTTGAAAATGTAGAAGTAAATTAATTTGTCCATTCATCCATCATTCACTCTGGTAGATAATCCAAGTATTGTCTGAGACACAACAGCATTGGCCCCCAGGGAGCCACTCCATGGGTGCTATAAAATAATTAATCACCTCAATGAATTTTCCCAGCAGGTAGTTGATAGTAATCCAGCCATAGGCGCCTTCTTCTTTGCCAGTGATGATTCTGGCACCCTGGAAGTCAAAGGGGTAGTTTCTGAGGACCTCCGTCACCTTAGCCAGGACCTTGTCTGCCAACTGTTCATTTTCAAGTCTATGCAAAGGAAGAGCTGAGGTTACTGGTTTTGTTTTAATAACTGCAACTACCCATTTAGCCACAGCTTACAGTCAGTTCTCCTGGGAAGTGAATAATAACTCACTGGAATAAACAGAGAGATGGAAATACCCACACACGGCTGCCTGCAGGACCCTCCTTTTGGGTGAGGCAGAACTATCTTTTGTCGCTTCTCTCCAAATCCAAATTCTTCCAATCCCTGAATAAATACCATTTTTGTTGCCTGGGCAGTGTGGCTCAGTGGTTGAGCATTGACCCATGCACCAAGAGGTCACCACATCAATTCCTGGTCAGGGCACATGCCCAGGATGTGGGCCCGATCCCCGGTGAGGGGCATGCAGGAGGCAGCCAATTGATGTTCTCTCTCATCAATGTTTCTATCTCTCTCTCCCTCTCCCTTCCTCTCTCTAAAATCAATAAAGAAAAATAATAATAAAATAAAATACCATTTTTGTTGTTTCTTGGCTCCAAAAAGTAATTTTAATTACTGTGCTTGTGGTAGCTGGATATTGTTTGATCACCATACCTAGAACTAACTTGGGCCACATTAGCCATTGCTGGTGGCTCTGAGCTGGTTACATGCCCAGGCTCTGCTTGAGGTTCTTAATTAGGACTGTGGTAGACACCAAGTAGCAAATGTCCTGGGACAGATACCCAACCTCCCTTAGGGTTAGACTGGAAAATAATCTTCCTCATATGTGCTTCAATTCTTGGTTCTGTCTAAGACCTTGAGACCTAAAGGAGGAATCTTCCAGAATTGTCATAATGAAGATGGAATGCAATTGCTTCCAAGATGTAGACTACTCAACATTGAGAGCCTCTGGGTCAGAAGATGCCACCTTCCAACTGGCATTAGACTCCTGTAATCTCTCACCAGTATGACTTCCATACCCTACCAACTGGCCCCCTTTATCCCTAGTTTTCCTTCCCTCCAGCCCGCCTTCTCTGCTAGTGGCACCATTTGTGTAATGTCACTTAATGTCTCCCCATTATCTCCCAAATAAACTCCAAACTCTCTAGCATGCCCTACAAGGCACTGTGTGATCTGGACGCTGCCTTCTCAGAATCCTGGCTCTACCATTTACCAGGTGTGACCTTGGGTGACTTAGTTAACAGTTGTAAGTCACAGATTCCTTATCTGTTTAGTAATAGTTAATAATACCTCTGACTTCACAGAGCTATTGTGATTAAGCACAGTGATAAGAACATAGTAAAGGTCCAACAAACACAAGCCGCTAATATTATTACTACTGTTATTATTTTACTATCTGCACCCTATGTTCTATCTATTTATAGTCCTCTAAACATGCCCTGGTCTCTCACACATTCCTGCATTTGCACATCTATTAGAACACAAGCTCCTGGAAGGCAGAGACTTTGTCCTCTTCACTGTATCCCTGCACTTAGAACAGTGCCTGACACACAATAGGTGCCAAATAAGCATAGGTGGGGAATGCACGATGTCTGCTCTGCCTGTGATGCCCGTGCCCTACCCGCCAGCTCATTCTTCATGATTCCGCTCATGTGTCCCTCCTCTGGTAAATCCTCCTGACCTGCTCCCATTCTGGGCAAGGCTATGTGCTCCTGTAGCAGTTCTGAGCAGCCTTCTATTAAAAAACTGGTCACCCAGTATTGGACCTCTGATCGCCTTTAGGGCTGAAGTTACCTCCTTCCATACCCTGTGACAGAGTAGGCAGTCACAACATGCTGCATGAATGAATGAACGAACAAACAGTGCACACAAATACTAAGTGGTGACCAATAAAGATGAGCTGGTTGTGATTATTTGTGTCTTGGGACATCTGACTCTCCTTGGGTCTTCCCCCTCCCAGAGATTGAATGGCTAAATCTATACCCCCAAATCCCAGAGTATATAGGCTCAACCTTTTTTTGTGTCCTCACCCCCTTGAATTTTCTGTGGGGAGAAGGGCAAAAGGGATTTTTAAAAAAACATTCTTAAACTCTGAAAGTCACATATACTGAATTGGGGAGTTTTTCCCACTATGGAGCTTCAGGATGTTTAGAATTGTAGGTGTTAGGGAGGTGTGGTGCTCTCCCATGACTTCGGAGGCTCCTTGTACTGCCAAACCTGGCTCCCAGCTGCTCTTGGTCCCTAGTGTCGTTATACCTGAGCAACCGCATGCCTGCTGTAGCGCCCAGGTAGACAGGTGTCTCTTGGTGCCGGGATATTGGGATCACTTTCCTGGCTTTTTCCATGCATTCAGTCAGATAAATGCCTAAGTCATGTATTTTATGAGCATACTTTGAGATTCCAGGTCCTAGGAAAAGATATAGAAGCAGATGACAACATGTTTTTAAGTATAGAACATACCTTGAACAACATTAAAGCAAAATACTGGTGTTTTCTGATAAAATTCAAGAAGACAATTTCTTGATGTGATATATATTTGTTTGCTCTACTTAGAGGGTAACTCACTGAACTAACCCAGCCTTAGTAGGGACTTTTTTTCAGACCTTGGGCTGGGTCTGTCCACTGTTCAATAATTTTGCCACCGGGTGGTGCAACTTTCACATTCAATTGCATAACCTTCCTAACAGGCTCATATTTTAATGGGAATCTTATAGATAGCTACTCTATATGGCTACTTTTGATGTTTCTTCCACTAAATTGTAATTAAGAACACTAATTCATAGAATATCAAAAAGATGACATTGAAAACAAAAGTTAAAATAAGCACCAGGCACATTGGCTTTTATGGAAAAGATAGGAACTGCTACTAACTAGCTATGTGATCATAGCTACTTATGTGCTCATAGCTAGACCCCTAAAATTTCTGAAGCAGAGTTTCTTTTAGAAGAAACAGGAGTAGCATCCATGTCTCCTCAGGGATTTTTCGACTGTTTCTCCAGTTGTAGAGCAAAACTAAGTGTTGCTATGGAGAGGATTAGAGCCAAGATTCCTTAAGCTTTTTGAAGTTAACAATTTCAGTTCACTTTAAGATAAACACCCACACTGTCAGTTCTTTATGGTTAGGATTTGGTTTAAAGATAATTATCCAGATATGTTATCCATATCATTCACAGGTTTTTAAACAGTCTGATTACTTAACAGTCCATCAGCATATCAGCTCTAAGTTATCAGCTAATTATTTTAATTTTTAAAAGTCTGGCCTTCAAGAATGGGTGGGGCCCAGCATCTGTGTTTTCACAAACCCTCCAGGTGGTTCAAATTTGAGAGCCACGGGCTGAGACATGGGTTTGAAGTTGGGCAGATCTCCATCTGAATCCCAGTTCCACTAGCTTAAGCAAACTCAGACACGTGGCATAACATCTCTCAACCTCAATGCCCTTGTTTTTAAAAATGGGGATAAGAATACATACCTCAGCCCTGGCCGGTTTGGCTCAGCGGTTAGAGCGTCGGCCTGCGGTCCTGAGAGACCCGGGTTCGGTTCCCGCTAAGGGCATGTGCCTCGGTTGCAGTTTGTCCCCGGCCCTGGTTGGTTGTGCGGGTGGCAGCCACTCGATGTGTCCCTTTCACATCGATGTTTCTCTCTCTCTCTCTGTTCCTCTCTCTCCCTCCCACTCTACCTGAACAAAAAATGGAAAAATGTCCTCGGGTGAGGATAAAAAATAAATAAATAAAATCAATAAAGAAAAAAAAATTTAAAAAAAAAAAAGAATACATACCTCACAGGGACATCGTGAAGATAAAATAACATTTTTAGTATTTAGGTTGGTGTGTGGCACGCAGAAGTGTCCTGTTGATGGGAGGTACTATCACCCAGTTATTTTTAAGTTTGTTTATGCTTCAAGGGCTTGATTATTAAGGACTGATTTCAATATTATTTTAATGATGATGATAAAATAGCAGCTTTAGCTCCGTCATGTTTTTCACTTGACTTGCTTTTCTTCATGTGCTCCACTTGCCACATACGTCTCGTCTCATGTCCCACTGTCCCCCCTTACCTTTGTCTTCATCTTACCTTTTACCTTGCACTCTTCTACCTGATTCACCACCCCGGTGTCATTCTCTTTTTCTGCTGGCCACTTATAGATGTACAAAGTCGTATGAGAAGAGCCTGCATCCAGCACGATCCCATACTGAGGGAAAGCAAACCAAGAACTTATCAGCATGTCATTGTTTTTATCCATGTTCAGCTTGCAACAGAAAAAAGACAAAGACAGGACTTTTCAAAAACAAGAGGAGAAAGTATTTTAATTCAAAAGGAACATGGAGTGGGGGTATTGCCTGGAGTCACCCTGCTCACAAGAACTCCAGTCACTCCAGCACAGTGGCTCTCACTGCTGGCTGCACATTAGCCTTACAGGGCGGGGCCTGAGCACCAGTACTGCTTGGAAGCGTCTCGGGTGGGTCTCGGGTGGTTCTAATGTGCCGCCAAGATGCTGAGCCATATGCTGATGTGGCTCATAGGCTAACATGGAGAATAGAAACCATTAAATTAGTTCCCAAACTTGTATGCACATCGAAATCATTAGAATCACCTGGAGAGCTTCTAAGGCTACTGTTGCCTGTGTTCCACCACCCAGGTATCTAATGTAATTGGTCTGGTATGTGGTCTGTGCTGTGGAAGAGAGACATGGAAAATACCAAATTTGCTTGCTTTTTTATTACAATAATAGCTATAAATTATATTCAATACATTTTGAGAGATATGTACTTTAACTTTGTATTTGGGGCTCTTAAGAGTAGGGGCGATGATGAACAAAGGACAGGAAGAAAGAATGTGGGTGGGGAGGACAGCATGAGTAAGAACTAGATGGTCAGAGAACAGAAGAACAAAGTCCCACCTGACATTCCATGAGTATATTAAATATATCAGGCAGGTGTTATATGAAGCATTTTGTAAGAATTACCTGACTTAACCCTCAGAACAGTGCCATAAATTAGGTACTATTTTTATCCCCTCTGCAGAGGTGAGAAACTAAAGTACAAAGAGATTATGTAATTTACCCAAGAGACACAATTAACAGGTGACAGAGCTAGGATTTGAATTGGAGTCAGATTCAAGAACCTATGCTCCTTATACAGAGAAATATAGGAGCAAGGGCTAGACAGTAGTTTTCATATCAGTGCCCCCTTTTAAGAACTTCTCATGAAAGGAAATATAGCAAAGTATGCAAATCTTAGCCGTGCATCCCAAAGAATGCTTGCATATGTGCACATTCATGTAAACCACCACCAAGGTCAAGTTGATACAGAAGATTTTCTAGTTCCCAGAAGGCTTCCTGGTGTCCCTCTCAGTCAGTTTCCCCCACGGGTAACCACTATCTTGACTCCTATCACCACGGATGAGTTTTGCCTGTTTTTCCAACTGCAGTAAGAGAACTGACATAGTGTGCCTCCTTCAGGTCTAAGTTCGTTCACTCTGCACTGTGTCTCTCAGATGCATTCAAACTGTGTGCGTCAGTAGTTAGTCTGTTCATTTCTGTAGAGTATTTCCTTATCCGCATATCTTACATTTGTATCTACTCTACTGTTGATGGACATTTGGGTTGTTTCCAGTTTGGGACTATTGGGAATATAGCTGCCAGAAACATTCTTGTACATTTCATTTTGTGGACATAAGCTCTCATTTCTCTGGAGTATTTACCCAGGAGTAGACTGAAGAATGCCCATTTTGATCAATTAAGTCATCTTTGGTTACACCCCTGGGTTTAATCAGGAAAAACATGTCACGATTTGAATAATAATAATGTCTGCCATAGGCTTAAGAGGGGCACATGTACTTTTTGTTTATCATACCTATGCTGGAGAGAAAAATAGAGGGAAGTAAATGGGGGAGCAAAAGGAACAGATACAGGAAATGCTTCTAACGTGTCAGCTAACTCCTCCCATCCCACTTGGCTACTCATTTGAGCTCTGGACCTCCAGGTGTGGTCTGCTATTGATGATGCTTCATTCAGAGCTCTCCCTCCCAGGAGCACACCCACACCTTTCTTCCCTCTGAGGCGTGCATCTCCTAAACTCTGAGGGTTTCCACGAGACTTGCAGCCAGGGGAGCGGTGGGCAGCAGCAGCTCATCCCGGGCTCACCCTCTGAACCTGTCTCCAAGGCCCCATTTTTTCTGACTTTCCAGTGAGCTGACAGTAGCCCCACCCTGGCTCACTTCTTTTCCATAACATTTCTAGAGAGCCAAAGCAGCCCCGCCTGGGCTCTCTCCTGTTGCTTCTTCTATCCTAAGCTCTACCTTGTTTCACTGTCCCCAGCTTTAATAAACATACTCTCAAAATCACCAGAACTTGTGTTGTGAAATCTTCCCTACACGAAGTCAAGAACCCACGCACTACAGTCTGGCCTAAGGCAGGCCCACTCTGGGCCCACTTCCTTTCTGGTAACATTAGTTCGATAGAGGCCTAAGTAAGAGTCATGCTGAGAATGGGATGATGACAGTTGCAAACTACCTTGTGGTATCTCAACTTCCCTTTATCTTTCAATTTCCATGTGTTTGATGTCGTTCTTTCAAGGTTATAAATATTTCAATAAAGGTCTTTCGTAGGAAGCTTTTTAAATATTAAGGTTGGCACTTTTGTTCTATATAAGCTCATGCTTCCTTGTGCTTTCCAGTTAGCCTGAAACCTCTGAGGTGTCCAGGTGACAAAAAAAAAAAAAGATAATTAAAGTTCAGCAGTTTTTTTATATATATCCCCTCATATTGTCTTATCACATGCTAAGAACCTAAGAACTTCCAGGGAGGAAAAAAAAAAGATAAGAATGAGGACTCAGGAGACCTCCCTAGACTACTGGGAATAGCTAAAAGTAGCATGTGTTGAGATATCAAGTTTTACTCTATCTAACCTCAGACCCGGGAGTATCATCACCGCGCAGCGTAAGGACCCTTGACCTCCATAGCCTGCACAGTGCTCTCTGCCTTTTTACACATAGTGGAGGATTCCCTGTGGTCATTAGCATTATGCCCTTATAAAGAAACAGCCTGTGTAGTTCTTGCTTGGGGCATGGCAAGGAAGCAAGTTGGACAGGCTCCCCTGCAGCTAAGCTTGCAGTGAGAGGAAACCAAGAATTGGCTTAGGTAGTGACCCTTGTGGGCTGAGAGGGGTCTGACTGAGCCATCTGGGGCCTTTGGATCCGTGAGAAACCTCCTGGGGTGGAGAAAGAGGCTCAGGGGTTAGATGGGGGCAATTCTGTTGTTTCCCAGCAGGGCCCCTGAATTCTTCCTGCCAGAAAATGTTCCAACCACAGCAACATATTATAAAAGTTAGCGAGGCAGCAGCAGCAAGCAGCCTTATTCTATCTGACTTTGCTGACATGAAAGCCACTCTTACTGTACAATAAAGGAACCAGCCTTGCTTCTATCGGCTGTTTCTCCAAGGCCTTACACAGTGAGGTGGTTGAGAAATGAAAGCTCTTACTCCATTTTGTTTGGCAAGTGTTTGAGAAGAGGGTAGGGCATAACTTTTAACACAGAAATTGAGGACATTTCACCTGGTGTCTGCAGCAGATGGGAATGCTGACTTGAACTGTATCCAATGTTTTTGTTTTCTAAAATGGTTTGCAGTATAAAAAATGGGCATAGCTTACTGCTTGTGGGACAGATAAAGCTTGATTGACAATTCTCAGTTTGAGCATTTCAGGAGTATGTTCATTCCATCTAATCTTATTTTATAGATGAAAAACTGGCCAGAATTATTCAAGGACTTGCCTAACAGATACAGGTCATTAATGCCTTAACAGATCCATCTAGAACCCAGGTAGCCACCACCTTTTGTTCTCTTTTACCACACAGGCATTTTCCAGCCCATATCCCAGAGAGCACTGAGCCTGCAAGGACCTGGGCAAGGAAACCTTCCCAGAAGTCTGAGGAATGCTGCGTGCTCGTTTCCCTTCCTGGGCTCACGACCCTGAGAGGTGGTGCACGCTTCAGGGAAGTCTGACAGTGGAGAGCCCGCTAACCCTTGTTTAAGCCAGCATGGCCTGGACAGAGTGACAACAGAACTCTGTCCTAAATACAATCTCTGCACTACAGAAACACTTTGAGAAAGGCTGTGCCTTGCCAGGCTATCGCCCTGACCCAGGTTTCTCTGCAACTCATATTTAAAACATTTCTAAAAGCTTCTATGGGTATGTCCTTCACGTTAAAAAAAAAAACCAAAAAAAAAAACCTGTGATTTGAGTAGTGAGGAAGAGATCTGACATTTCCTTAATATTGTCATTTCAACACTATTTCTATTTTAAGAGTACAAAAGTTTATTAAATAATATCTAGAAAATGAAGTGAAAAGGAAAAAGATATTTAACAATCTACCAACTAGACATCATTGTTATTTTTATTCCCTTCCAGGCTTTGTAAATGCCTGGTGATTTTTATCATGTTGTAATGCAGACAACTGTGCCCTAAGTTACTTTTTGACCAGGCACAAAATTTTAGCCATCATAAATGAAAAAACCTGGAGAGGTGGATGGCAACTGACCCTGAGCTCATGGAGACTGGAGACCACGTGAGGTATTTCCACCTTAGGGTGGAAATAATTCTACTTGCACAAATGTCATAGGCCCAGGCTTCTGGGTACCTCTCCCTAGATGTGTTTAAAAAAAGAGAGAGAGAGAGAACTGGTGCATCAGATGACCTATTGGCTTCGCAGAAGTGGGATATTTAGCCCTATCCTCTAAGTTTACTCATTCAGAAAATACCCACCCTCACCCTTTCACTGGCCTGCTCTCCATTCCACATGGGCCATGTGGCTGCTCTTCCACAGCCTTTGCCCAGAAAGCCCTCGCCTGAAATCCTGCCTTCTCTGACCGTCTCGGATTAGATGCTAACCTCCTAACCCATGTCTCAGAGTGCCTGTAGTTTTCCTCTAAAGCCAGAATTTACCATTATATGTAATTATATATTTCTCTGGCTATTTGGTTAATGTTATCTTTTCTATCAGACTGGAAGCTACATTAGGGCGGGTCTGTTTTGCTTACCATGGTATATGCAGCATCCATCATGGTATATTCTACTATATGTTGGACAAAAGAAGGAATTCAACAGACAATTGTTGAATCAAATGAAAGATTGAGGGGATTGGAACTACATGGCTCCTAAAGTTCTCCAGTCCTAAAAGGGTTAATATTCAGTC